CTCCCGAAATACGTCGTTGGCAACGTGCACAAGGGAAAGAACGTTTAAATCACTAGAGCAGTCGAAGTGCGAAAACAGTGGAAATGCGAAACTTAATCATCGAAGCACTCGAAATCGGCTCATGCGTCATATCCACGCCTCGCGAATCGACAATCTAGTCTCTGTTGGTACGCACAATTAACATCAATTAATAGGATTCAGATATTGCTCATTGAGAGCTCCCGTTTTTAAATATATCCTCTTTACAATGCTTAATCCTTGCACGCTATATAAGCCGGAGAGCGGTGGAAATATTTAATTCAAGCATTAATTTACCGAACATTACCATTTCAACAAAATTACCTAGAATATTTCAAATTGTTTACATTCATAAATTGAACTATCGAACCGAGAACAATTATTTTTATTGTAAATGCCAATTTGCTGCGATTACATCAACCTGGATCCACGAAACGAATTTAACACTTCACTAGACTTGTTTTGTCAGGACTTCCTGTTACCAACTAGCGCCAAACAAGTCCAATATTCAAACATGCTAGGGCAAGTCCGCGGCACGTGTGCTTCACTCGCAACATCTCCTAACCGCTGCGGTCCGCGTCGCATAGAACGAATTTGAGCCCCGCAGCGCCTGTGAGCAACAGCCATCCACGGGAACCTCTTCCCTAGCCCGTCGGCGCACTGCGAGGGAACCCCGGTAGGCCTTCTGTTTACACGCATGGAGCGGCGGCAACGGGAGGCGGTACCGGTGCGCCCTCACACATGTGTCGGCTGCCGAGGGGGTCCCGCCGACGCCAATCCCGCTATTTCCGGTGCCGGCCCGCCCCCCACCCGACGGCGCGGCCAGGGAAGGGCGGAGGCGGAGGCGGAGGCGGAGCGCGTCCACGCGGCGTGGGGCGGAGTGTGTTTTTAAACGGCACAGCCGGCGGCAGACGCCGGCGGAGGCGGCGGCGGCGGCGGCGGAGAGGGGGCGTGGGTCGCTACCTTCCACCTCCGCCGCCAGTCGCCGTCTCCCCCTCACGCCTCGCCCGTGATTAGATCCAGTCCTCGACATCGCTGCAGCCTCCCTCCCACTCGCCGTTTGTAATTCACGCAGGCGGATGCAGACGACAACGCGCTCGCACCGCGACGCAACAGCTCCATTTCGCATCTTTCAATGCAGGCTGCTGCCCATTTAGAACGGAAACTGTTGCGACAATAAATAAGGATTCAATTATTAATCACTAGTAGTGCATAATGATTAAATCTGAAACTGTTGACATTTAAATTAATAGACGAACGAAGAAAAAAAATATTTTTTTAAAATTTACTAACCGTTAATACGAATATAGTGATGTAATGTAGGTGTTCGACTTCACGTGTCGGCGACTAATATCGAAGTCAATCACCGCCTACCCTTTCGTCGCAACAAATAAAGTCGACGCTAGTCTACTGTTGCATCTGCTGCCACCATCCCAGACATTTCCGCCCGTCTTGTACCCTCCACGGCTGCCTCCTCTTCCTCCTACTCCTCCTCCGCCGCCGCCGCCGCCGCCTGCTGTCAAAAATAACTGGCCGGGGAGTCGCGTCTCGGTTGTAGGGCGTGCACCGGCGTCTGCCGCCACGGGGCATCGACGCCGGGCCCCCGACGCCGTGCAAGCGGCGCTCACAGCGCCCCCTTCTAAATGCACGCTTGCGACTATGCGCCTCGTTTGCACGAGATTGGTCCGTCATATGCGGACTTCCCTGGCTGTGAATTCCGTAAGGCCACACGAAAAGTCGGAAAATTACATGAAATTAGTTTTTAATTAATTTCTTGTTAATATGTAATCAATATTCCACTCACCAAACGATTTTTTGGATATGCACTTCTAATAAAATGGAGGGCTTTTTTCAGGAAATAAAGCGTGACAGAATGGCTTTAAACATGAACTTAAATATTATCTGTTACCTTCAGAATATGTTTAGTGATTTACCGGATTCTTCAATTGCACAATAATATTATTTTCTAACATTTTAAGTCCAGTTTTACTATACTATGTAACATTACTATTACTTTAAATTACAAATTGAATACTACGAAACTTGCATACCACAATGCATTATGCTGATTGATTCGGCATGCAATACACGGAGGAAACATCTAGAAGAGATACGGACGCAGTAAATTATGCACTTTGAAATTTATCGATTAAAATAATGTAATGAATATGATTCAATCAATATGTTCAATATGACTCAATACGTGCGCAATGGTCTTCTCCCCGATACGTCACATACAGTTTTTACTGTTGTTTGACTAAATAAATCTAAATCTTTCTATCACAAAAGGTTAATAATAAAATGTTGCTTACATTTAGAAAATTACGTCGTATTAGATATTCCATATAGTTATAACCACGTTTGGAATGGATAGTTTTGTCACCAAAAATGGCAGGAAAAATGCCAGTCAATCTACAGCCTGCTGACGTACCTACTTAGCACGCAACTATGCGCTCATTTGCTTCCAACCCAACTGCACTTGCTTGCACAAGACGCTACAAAGACAGAACAATTTTCATACTGCTACTACCGATTGGCACGTGAGATGACAGCAATTTACGTCATCCATTCATTGGAACTTCCTCGAGAAAATGTGTGCAAAGAAACGACGCTTCAGACAACGTGTTTGAAAGACTCTCGGAACAAGCAATCGGCATTGTTCGTTGAATTTGTTTTCAAATATCCCTTCGTGCAGTAATCCTTTCCGTCTTATTTGAGTTCAATGCCCGCTCTAATTTTAATTTAATCTTGGCCTGTGACGAGATAAAAAAAATGTTTATTCGTAAATAGATGTAACAAACATTTCATTAATGGGAATTTTCCTCTTTGTATCCTTTACGTAGTGGCATGAATTTAATCTGCACATGACTGCATTTGTCAACTTCAGCATAATAATTCTCGTGTAAAAAACACTAAACTGTGTTATCCATGGTACTTTCCCGTTGGAATGCTTGGTCAGCAATTGTACTTATAACTGAACAGTAGGGTTTTTTTTGTATTCTTTACTACACCCACCCCAAATAGAGCTTATGTAAATGACATATAGAAAACAACACATTATAAAATAATGAATCTCCGAGATTTTAATGCAAATCGTTACAAAACCTAATTATTCTGTGTAATACAATACACAGAAACTCATTTTTCAGCTGCCTTAATTCATTTTTAATTAAATTTCCTCTCTCTCGGTAATAAATTAAACCTCCGACACACCATGCTTTTAAATTCATAATACTGTCTTCTCATATTAAAACGACAAAACAACGGAGATTAATGGAATAAGCAAAAAAAAATATTTTGTTTTGACCTGCCCAAAGTCTCTCTACACAAAGGAAATGTTTTGTGTTTATCAAAGTTTCGAACAAGTGCCAATGCAGGTCGACATTCGATTGTCACTTCTGATGTGTCTCCCATTCACGAGACTAGATTGGAACATAGCAAACACCTAAATTAAAATGCAGCACTGTAAAGAAAAATAAAATTCGATCCGCTACTATCACACCATGTAACATAAATTATTAAGCACAAACATTGCCTTGGCTTCTCTTTCTTCCTTTCTGTCGACTCCATTTTCCTGAAACCTACGCCTTCAAATTTTCTGATTTTGGCTGATAGAACAAATCCCCTTCTTTTGCAACGAAAGATCTGCACCGTTCCCAACCGATGTTATCAGCTCTCTCGCGATCTTTTTTTATCGTCTATCCAGCTGGTTACACTCTGCTTACCGACAATTCCGCCTCGGGTGCCCTTTTCCAATCCCATTTTCGAAAGTGTTTCCAACGCGTGCTCTCTGGCGACTGCCTGCCCCGCGCCGCTGGAAAATTGCATTGGCCCTGCGAACTCACGTGGAGGGCTACGTCCCGGCTTTAACAGTGGTTTAGACTTCCCCGGCTGTAGTCGATATCTATTGATGGAAGGTGAGCGAGAAAGGGAGTAATAGAAGCTGAAGGAAAGGAAAATAGTATGAGTGGCTACGGTGCTGGGATAAGGAACCGAGTAAAGAAAGGGTACACAACGAAGTAATATTTTTATCGAGAAAAATCAATGCATAACAACAAAAATATCTTTGCTTACTTAATGGCAAATGCTTTTTCTTTCCTTCACGTATTCTCTTTCGCTCCTTAAGATGTGGAAACGTTGGATGATGTTCAAATAGACTCGCACTGTACGCAAATCTAAAAAGAACAAAACCTTATTTCATTCAGCAAAAGCAATTATTTGAACACGGAAAGCACCTTTTCAGTCTTCCAATCAGAATACCAAATAATGGAAACCACGAAAAATGTGACGTTATTCCCTTTACCATGTATTATCTCTGTTCACTCCATTTCCATACATCGTTTTCAGAAACAAGTTAAGTAATTTAATTATATAGCATAAAAGGAAAAGTTCCGAGGAAACGGCCCTATCATAATAAGGTCGGTGACAAGGCACATTATAAATACCATTTGTTGCATTTTTGCTCGTTGTTATGCAAATAGACAAATACAAAATAAGAATTAAATAATACTTGATAATACACAAACCAAATAGACGGGGGGTATGAATTAATATAAAGTATATTGTCCACTAAACTTGCGGTGACCCATGCAAAAACCACACTAGAAAAAAAAGGTTTTCTGGAGCAACTAAAATCACACAGTGATCTCCAAACAAAACTTATTTTATGCAGTAATTCCCATCGGAAAGCATGCGTTAATAGTTATTTATTCACCAAGGCCGTTCTAAGGGCTGTAATGATCGAGCGGCGCCCAAATGCCCTAGGACCTTCGGCTCGAAATCATTAGAAGCAGTTAACGCACGTGGTAGAACATAATTTTATTTTTTACCTCATTTTACCGCTTCAGAATTACTTATGTACTAATTATGTAGATGTTAAGTAGCATAATTTGTTTTCCGTCTCCGAAAGTGGCTTGAGGCGTTTAAGGTGTTTGTGTGTGGGCGGCAGCGACGAATACGAGACGACGTCCACCTCCTCCAAGGAAGAGGCGTCGGCGGCGCGGCGCAAGCGGCGCACGGCGAGCGCGGCCACGGGCTGCGGCTGCAGCTGCGTCTACTGCGGCAAGCGGGTGACGCGCAACAGCGTCAGCGTCAGCATCACCCGCTTCCGCGCGCGCCGCGCCCAGCTGCGCATCGCGCGCGCGCAGGCGCTCGCCATGCAGGCGCACGCGCTCACCACGTGCGGCGGCACGCACGGCGAGGGCTGCCCTTCGTGCGAGGCGGCCGCCCTGCTCCACATGCACCAGCAGGACGAAGGCGGCGCCGACGCGGCCGCGCTGTGCGGCTGCGCGCTCTGCTGCGAGGAGCCCGCGCCGGCGCACGACCACTCGGGCGACCACAGCCCCGCGCCCAGGTGCGTCCACCCTTTCGGGCATCATCATATTCCACGTTCAACGAGGGTTGTCCCCCGCCCCCGCGGTGTATACCTTCAGCACAGGGTTGACACCTGGATGCGCCGGAACGTCTACCCGTAACTGGGCGGGGCCAGATGCACAGCGGTGGCACTTTACGCCAAGGCACGCTCTCTTCCTCATGCCAGGAGCATCGGACACGCACGACGGAGCCACGAGCCGAAACCTGCGCCACCCGGGTTGGGGGAGGAGGGCACAGCCCCCAGGCGGCCGCCCCACTGCTGTCATGGCAGACCGCGCTTTCATCCCCGAGTACAGCGTTGCAAATCCCGGTCATTCCATGTAAAATTCCTCCTCCTCGACATCATATGTACCGACATCGTATGATCGTATGACAGTGCACAAAAAAAAGTGGCGTCTCAAAATTTGTTGAGTGTTTTTTTTTTTGAACGGTTTAGATCAGAGCGAATCGTTTTATTTCGAGAGCAATCACAAGTAATTTGGTCTGAAATCTTGCTGTGTTTCTAACTACCTTATAAAATTTGTCCCTTTTCATATGCACCGATAATTCACCAATTAATTTAGCATCCAATGAGTCTGTTGAGGCTTAAGAAATGAAATGATAATGAAGCACACTCACGTCGCCCTCAGAGTGTAAACAACCCCACGTGGGCGCCTTAGAAGGCGGTGTGAGTGCGAGTACAGCTCTGCAACTGCTGCAGTGTCGCCTACAACCCGGCATGAAGCCCCATCCACCTCGCGATGGCCTTGGGGCCTCAGCTTGCTTTCCACGTCCGAGGAAGACGATTCAATTCCCAAGCCCTCCGTGTGGACATGGCATTCCCCTGGCTCATACATGCGTAACTGCTCCATCATACACACCAGCCCTCACCACGCACGCCGAGGATTCTGAGGAAGGGGTAAGGAGCGAGCTAGGGCACCTCGCTTACAAGACCTCTTGTGGCTCATGTCAAGTTTGCACAACGACTATCGCGCAGGCCGGTACATTCAGCTGCCGCTCGCGACATAACTTCCTTCTCCCGATTTGCAAATAGACGCAATCGGTATGTCTATGGTAACGTTATTTCCAGAAACAACAAAATTATACAAAACTAGTGCTGCTCCCGTAATTAATTTGATCAACCGCCTAGAAGGCTACGTCATTGTGCAACTTTGTTCAGGGAGAGGATGCCTCCGCGAGGGAAATAACGTTGCGATCGAGTCTGATGGGCCAAGTGTGAGAGTAGCATCAATATCATTCGTGCTTTCTGTCCTGGCAATTATAGGCTCTCTATATTGATTGCTCTGCGCGTATGGTCGGTGCGTGTAGACCCCCCCCCCTCCTCCGCCTTCATTGACAAGGTGAAGGCCGTTGCCTTTCACCTCGGCCAGTTCCTGATCTGCGCTTTGCATGCACAGGCAACTTGAGACCCCTATCTCGTATGCCCGAAACGCTTTCTTAACGGCCTTTTGCGCAGGTCCGCGCTGTTCTGTCATTCAGGCGACTAAAAATGTTATTCACACCCGCTGTTGGAACTTGTGTTATCCACAACGATGGCATTTCTGTCCCAAAAAATCGAAATCGCCGTCGTTTTCAAATGTTCAAAGAAATATTGTACCTGCAATGCAAAGGGATATAGGTTTATAAAACACTGCCTTGCGATATACTGTATTGTCCAAATTACCATGCGCAAATTTTGTTGCAGCACGATGACATATGCACAAGGTACGTGCGACACACGAATCGCCGAACAGGCCAAATAACTTTTAATGGACTTTTCAGTTACATTTTGGATCAAGTTTCCATTTCTAATAACATCTACTAAATATGATTAAATACATGTTTTAAACGATATTTTTGCCACAAACTTGATGCAAGAATTTGTATGCCGTACACCATTTCCTTCATAACCTAGAAATACTAGAAATGAAAAGATAACGTTAAGAAGGACAATTTTGACATATTTACATAGTTAAAGTTATCATTACTCGATAACATGCGTATTTCTTTATATGTAACCAGGATACGTCATCCGATTAGTCGCAGCCAAAGTCCCGCCCCGGCCTCCACCACGTGATTTCACCATTTCAAGCTCTCCGACCAGAAATACAAGCCACCCGACCTGGACTGACATCGCACCTCAAACAAATCAACAGGAGACTATCTAACGTACCACCACCATGGCAACTGAAGCAGGTTTCGAGACAAAAAAGAAAGAAAAGGCTGAACGACTTGCAAATCAATAAAAATATAACAATACTGCGAAACAACTGCATACGACCATTCTCGCTATCAACAGAACATGTATGTATTATAGTAACATCGTGCATGTTGGAAAAAACGAACTTGCGTGTGTAAGCGTGTGTGAGCAAAATAAATAGAAAATGAGATAGCATTATGTCAAGCGTGAGATTATCTTTTTTGTGAGAGTGTGCATTCTCATGCTCGAGTTTATTACACTATAGCATGTAAAGTTTCAGTACCAACTGGCCTAAGTTCACAGAGTTGGTGACCTTAACGCTACACTCAATGTCATCTAGATCGCCGCAAGAAGACGATTCACAGCCGACCTCTTGTCGGCGCCCAGCAAGAACATCATTGCTGGCAGATTGCTGCAATTACTCCAAGGAATTCCGCAATGAACCATTCATAGAGCTCGCAGGCCACCCGAATAGGGAGCTCATCCTCAATGCAGTATAATCTACCTTCAGGCAATATGTCGAAGTCGGAAAGGAATGGAGTAATGCTTTTTCGGCCATGTTTTTCTTATTTTACCCAATTGACAGACTGTTTCCAATACGACTCGTACAATGTACAATGTACTACTCGTATAATCGAATTAACAATTCCCTCCTCATTAAGTCTGCAGTGTGTTTGCCCTGCACACAATGATCTTAACCGGCAAACAACTGCATTTACGAATCACCAATTGAAAGCTCTGACCATTCTGATTTCAATGTTCAGCGTCACTTAATGTTAAAAAACATTAATGCGTACAAAGTATAGACAAACACAATTACAACAAAATACTATATCACTGAAGGGGAAAGCTTCACGAATGTGATAAAAAGCTTTCCGATGGACCACTAAACATACCTCAAACTTCTTTTCACTACAAAACATTCACGAGAAATGTTCAATCGATCAACGACTTGTTTATCTCTACACCTCTTCAATGATTAGGACTGCCCTTATGTCGGTGTCAAGTATTTAAGGATTTAGAATTACAATTATTCAGAAACACACATTAGACGTCTGCTAGTATTTCCTCTACAATGATGCGGCAAAAATTCGCATAACAAATTCGACAAACAGGTTTGGTGAATTCTTGAAATTCCGGGAAGGAGCGCCTATTCGGTATGCTTGAAAGAAAAAAGACGGGTGTCCCCTGCGGTATTTGCAAGGTCACATACTACAACGCGAGAACACAAAACTTGGGTCTGGAGCCGGCAATCGCTAGGCAAAGCCATAAGGCAACCATCTTCAACATTCATAACTTCGTACGCAGTATTAGATGCAAGTACATAAAAATTCTACAGTAAAATGTTTAAAACAAACTAATTTAGCTACTGAAAAAAGTTTAAAAAATTGCCAAGGCATATTGACATTCGCTGAATTCGTGGAAAAATCCAAATGCCGATAATTTGGTGATACGGGACATCTGACAGAAATTAAATACTTATATAGTACTTCATTCGAAATGCTTGGACAACTATCGAAGATATAAGACAGGCATTGATAACAAATATGTCTTTCCGCTTCTGAAATCGCGATATAAAAATAAAGAGTTGGTTCGTAGGATTTTAAAACGTGCATTCCATTATTCCAAATTAAGATACAACTACTTCAGTTTCCTGTTTGCGCATCTAAAGAGTAAACACACAAAAATGAGCAATGGACGTAAAGTATCAACATTACACCTCAAAAGAAGTTCATTGTACCTATTAATCCCCCTGTTTTTGAAGAAACTTCGGGGCGTCTGCCTATTCATATAACTCTACCTCTCGCCACACACCCCAGTACCACAACACATCCTAAACAAAAGCCCCCGGCATAAAAAAAATCGAATATAACAGCCCTTAACTAACAACCAGTCATTACCGCCAGTTCGAGTGCAGAGATTTCGTTAGAGGCCACTGTCGGCAGCCCCTGTCCATAAAGCAAACCAGGGAAAAGAAGAGAAGCGGGGGG